GCGTGTGCGGGTGTCCTCAGGCTGTGCGGACGCAGGTGCGTGTGCGGGTGTCCTCAGGCTGTGCGGACGCAGGTGCGTGTGCGGGTGTCCTCAGGGTGTGCGGACGCAGGTGCGTGTGCGGGTGTCCCCGGGGTGTGCAGACGCAGGTGCGTGTGCAGGTGTCCTCGGTGTGCAGATGCAGGTACCACTTGGCTGCACCATCTCTGCCTCTGAGGAGTGAGTCAGGCAGCCAGACAGACAGCCTGGGACGGTGTTCTCAGAAGACAACCCTGAGGTTTGTAGGGTCCCAAAGTTTGACTCTGACAGTAAATTTCCTTAAGGTCCCAGAAGAGTGCTGCTGCAGTGTCCTGAGAACGGCTGTCAGGTGGCTGTGTGGCTGGGTCCCTAGCACCGCTCTGACGGGAATGTACCACAAACGGGAGGCCTTAACAAACAGGAGTTTATTCTCTCACAGTTTGGAGGCTTTAAGTCCAAGTTCAAAGTGCCAGGCTCTAGGAGCCCCTCAACATTGGGTTGCAGCTCTGCCTCTTGCTCCCAGCCCACTGGAGCTAGAGGCTTTTCTTCACTCAGCTGCTGGCTGCTGAGGCTGCCAAGCCCAAGGTTGACAAGTAACAAGACACAATCCCGATGTTACCAAATCACATGGCAGGCCATTGATTTAAGTCCATCAAAAGTCCCTAGTTTGGCAGAGCATGGCAGGCTGCTGAACAACGACATGGCTACGTGCAGGGTTCAAGCCTGCCATAAGCTAGAGACTATCCCCAAGGCTTCTCATTATATGCAGGAAGCTGACCACATCCTAAAGGCAGCTACTTAGCTGCTTGTAGATCCCACTGTGGAGTTGACTGCCAGTCTCATCATGGGGAATAACTACCACCAGCTGCCCAGCCACTCAACCAGGCCCAGCCAAGTTAACATACAAACTGAACTACCACAGTGGTGTGGTGCCTAAGGCATTTGACTGCTAACCAGAAGACTGGCGGTTCAAACCCACCAGCCACTCCTCAGAAGACTGGGCAATCTCCGTAGAGATAACCACCTTGGAAACCCAAGGACGGATCGCTACAAGTCGGATCTGACTCGATGGCAGTGAGATTTTTTTTTGCTTTTGTTTTTGTTTAATCTCACATCAGTGATGCTTCGTGGACATCCATCTTTCAGAGATGGTTAGTGGGAGAGCTCCCCTCCCCCAGCCCAGGGCACGGCAGCTGGTGCTCACCACCCAGCCCAGAGGCCTTGGAGGGACTGTCGCCACCATCCCTCTATGGGGGTAGACTGTTGCTAGTCCAAGCAACTGCAAGCCATGGCAAGCCCATGTGTGCAGAGAACTCCCCAGTGTCTCCAAGGCTGTGACCTCCGGGAGCAGATTGCAGGACTGGCTTCTAGGAACCAGCAGCCTCTTGGCTGATGGTCGGGCACTTCATTGTTAGTGCCACCAGGGCCTCCTGGGCTAACGACTTCAGGACCCCAGCCACAGCCCTGCCTGTGGAGGTGGTGTTCCTGACATGCACTTCTCCGTGTTGTTCCAGCGGAGCCCACGCTGTCCAGGTCCCAGGCCGCAGTGCCACCCCCCACGGAGGAGGCGCCCTCGGATGACTCCGATGACATCATCTCCCCATCCCTGCCTAGGAAGAAGAGCTCGTCGCCCTAAGCTCTGACTGCTGCCCTCAAATGGCCTGGCTCGTTTGGCATGAGGTTAGGGCCGAAAGGACAAGGAACCTTCTAGAAGATGTGGTAACTACAGTTGGAGAGAGAGTTTATCCTGTTAGAAAAGAGTGGTGCCTAGCACACAGCTGCACCTCGGCCTTGCTCTGTTCCTTCGGGGGTGGGTTAGCTCATTGCTTGGGTGCGTCCCGGGCACCTTCATTTCCTTCCTGGGAAGCAGGTGGGGGCTCCGTCCCCTCGCCTGCAGCTACCCTCAGGGTTGTGGGTTTAGTGCCAGACAGACACAGTGTCCTAGAGGGGGCAGTGGACAGGAGCCTTGTAGAGACGTGGGCCACCCAGCACATCATGGGCTGCCAGGGACCCAGACACGTGGTGAATCCCCTCCACCATGTCATCGTTGAGGTCACCTTCTGCGAACTTTGCTCTAGTCGTGGCGGGCTAGTCTCACGTCACCATGCTGCATGTGTCAAGAGTCAAGATGAGGCCAGGCCCCTGGGGAGGGTAGCATCCCCATCAGCCCCACAGCCCAGCGCAGGCCACTCCAGAGGAGAGTAGTGTCCCCATCAACCCCACAGTGTGGCCCCTGCAGGTCACCTTGGGAGAGGGTGGTGTCCCCAGGGGAGGGGGCATCCCCTTTGGCCAGCGCAGCCCCAGAGACACTCATGGGACACGGCAGATACCAGTGTCCTGATGCATCCTGGTTCTGCCCCCACTGAGCACCATCCCTGGGGCAGCTGCTCCCCAGGAACGAGCGGGGGTGATGAGGTTAGGGCCGAAAGGACAAGGAAGATGTGGTAACCATGGTTGGAGAGAGTTTATCCTGTTAGAAAAGAGTGGTGCCAAGCACACAGCTGCACCTCGGCCTTGCTCTGTTCCTTCTGTGGGGGTGGGCTCCGACGACACCACCACCAGGTTCCAACCACAGAAGCCACGTCCGGCTCGCTTTTGAAAAACAGATGAGTTGCTCCCCCGACTGGCCGTGGGAACAGTCACCACTCGGGCATGATGACGGGGGCCGGAGGCAGGCTGAGGACCGGGCTGTGTCCACTGCAGCTCTGGGAGGACAGCAGAGGCCACCAGCTTTGCTTTTGCTGGGGTGGGAGTCTGCAGCTCCTCCCACCCTGAGGTGCTCCTGGCCTCGGAGAGTCTGAGCTGTGAGTGTCAAGGAGACTCTCACCTTCAGGGAGGTGGGCGGGCTCTGGTCCAGAGACGGGCTCAGAGGCTGCACCGGGCGGCAGGGCGCGACCAGCACCAGCCCTGCGGGACGCCCCGTCAACTCTCCCTCCCTGATGCTTCCTGATGGCCCATTTCTGACACACTCTCACGGGTCCCTTCCTGACGCCCGTCACAGGCCCATGCATTGTGGGCACCGTGACCTGGGACAGGCAGAGCTGAGGAGACTGGCTCGACCTGTGGGCTTGTTCTGCAATAAAAGGTCCTGCGAGGCGTGGACAAGCGTGTGCATCTCCCCACTAGAATCACACTCTCCCAGGCGCTGGCACTGTCCAGGTCCAGGCAGGGACCCTACTGGGCACCTGCAGGTCATGGCCACTCGAGCTGCTTGGTTTCCACAGCGACGTCTCCACAGCCCCGGGAGCTAGGCAGTGGGAGAGCTGCGGTCCGCGGTGTGTAGGTGACCCAGCTGCAAGGACACGCAGGAGCCTATGGGAAACCCAGCCCAGCCCTGGCTGCTCCTTCCTCCCACGGAAACCCCCGAGGTGCAGACTGGTGCTGGCATTGGCACCCAAAGCGGGGAAGAGGGTGCCCCAGGCTCACAGCCTTGTACACCACCTGTCATTCTCGTGAAGGTGCCACGTGGTCACACACACATCTAAGCAGAGGCATGGCCAAGGGGCCACCTGCTTGGGGGGGGGGCACAGCAGCACTTTGTTTCCAAGGGACGGGGCGCATCCGTGTGGAGTGGGGTCCATTGGGGGAGGCTCATTGGTTCCTGTTGGGGATGGGTAAGGGTTGGAAGGGCCTGTCCTGACTGCTTGACCCCCATGTTCTCCATGACAAGAGCCAGCAGCCCCAGTGATGCTCAGCCCAGGCTGCTGTGCGAGCAGGAGTACGCTGTATTTCTGTCTGTCAGGGTTTCTCTTTGCTTCAATAATTTTATTGTTGTTAAGTAGCTCTCGTGGTGCAGTGTCCAAGGCATTTGACTGCTAACCAGAAAGTTGGCAGTTCAAACCCACCAGCCACTCCACAGAAGGAGGAGTGGGCACTTACCTCCGTAAAGATTTACCACCTCAGAAACCCAGTGGGGGTCACTGTGAGTCAAATCGGCTCAGTGGCAGTGGGCTTTGTTGTTATTGTTGAGAACGGACGCAGCAGAACGCAGACCAGCTTGCCGCTCTCCAGGCGGGTTCACTGCCATGGTTCTGTGCCCTGAGCTGCAGCCATCCTCGCCCTGCTTTGGGGGCTGTGTGTAGGCTCATCATGGTCAGGAGGGCACTGTCAGTAGGCGGACGGCCCCAGTGCCATGGTGCCTGCTTCCAGATGCATGCCGCTCCCCTCGTCTCCTTACGGGGACAGGGGCTGTGCTGTTGGCTGCTTGGCCGCACCACAGAGCCTTCTGTGCAGAAGAGCCATTGACTTAGGAGATGTGGGCCAGCACCTCACCGCCCGCCAGGGCAGGGCCCGGTGTGGAAGAAATTAGGGCCCCTTCCTAGAAGGTCATGTGCAGCCACCTGAGGTACAACAGATGGTCTCTGTTCAGCTAGAGCAGCAAAGGGAGGAAGAGCCAGGAATCGGAGAAGGAACCAGACGGCAGGTCCCATTGCCTCCGGGAACTACTGCCCCCTTTGCCATGAGAACAGAGGACTGGATGGGGCCTGGCTTCCGGTACTGAGTGCTTTCATCAAAGACCGAACAGCTGAATCTTTTTCTTAAATTGTGCTTTGGGTGAAAGTTGACAGAGCAAATTCACTTTCCAAACAGCAGTTCCCATACACTTTGTCTCATGACATTGACTACAATTCCCCACAATGCAACAGCTCGCCTCCCACTTCCTCCCATAGTTACCTCTTCCCTGTGTCCTTCCCTCCCATGCACTCCTGCCCCCTGAGCTGTCTCCCTGTGCATACACAGCCCTTCTA